AGAGAGAGAGAGAGAGAGAGAGAGAGAGAGAGAGAGAGAGAGATTAACAGAAGCATGCAAATGGATGCAGCTGGGCTGTATATCTTATTATTATGTTGCAGCTAATTATTCTAGATAAAAACCTTGAATTCTTATCTGAATGAGGAGCAGTGCCTGTCACTGTAATATTTTTCTGATCTTGGAAAAGTAATGGGTTCAGTGGTGAGCTGCTCCACAGCTCTCTCGCCAGTAATTCGCTTTATATTCACTGTAGTTTTATATTTTTGGCTGCGATCCCAATGGTTAATGAGGTAGTTCTGGGCGTGTGTTGGAGGTGGGCTGGGCTATGCTAATGAAACCAGGAGGCATCCAGCTAGACCAGTCTCTCCCTCCAAGCTATACAAAATCATAAATCTGCCAGAAAGATCTGTTGTGTAAATTATTTTCAGAGAATCAAGCCGTAGCGCTTCAGGAGGTATATGTTTTCAACATGATCCAACAACTGCCAGTTCTACAAACTTCAGTAACATGACGTGGCACTGTGAATGTCCTTATCCTTTTTATCCCCTGATAGGTGAGATTTTCATTCACACAAAAGCATTCACTAGCCACTGATCAGGCTGGGAAAGGGATTGCTAGTTCTCATAAACAAACTGAAATTTCATCTCATAGGCTAAGAAAACAAGTAGCACAATGAATAAATATTTGTGGCTAATGCTTTTCCCATCCCAGAACTATCCATTTGGGTCTCTGTATTTCTCTAACCTGTATAATTCACAAACTTGTGCTACTGTAACTGAATTTTATTAAGAAACAACATAATCTTCAAACTATTATTTAACTATCCTTAAGTACCTGTGGTGGTACCCTCAGTCCCCATAACCCTTAGGAGGGTCTTTTCTCATTAAGAAGGGGTGTTACATTTTGTAACAGAACAAACAGACTGTTGAAGATTTTTATTTCATGATTGTTTCCCTCAGACTCCAGAAGAAAAAGCCTGCACTTAGGAGCTGTGTCACTGGAATTCAACCAAAACCCAATACCTTAGCTAAAACTGTGAAGCCAAGAAACAGCACCCTGCATATAGTTCGCTGCAGAACACTTCAATGCCTATTCAATGCCAATCTGTTTTCTGGAAGGCTTTCCAGTAATAAAGTACTGGATCCCTTGGCCACTTCTCAGGATCCCTGCTTCACTTTCTCTCAGTGTCCTCGGTGTGTGAAGCTACATTGTTAGCCTTGAAAGGAGCATATAATACTTTTATATTTTATCTCTTTTCTTAATTGTTTGTACTTTTTCTCTTCTTAATATCTTATACATTCCTTTCTTTTTTCTTTCTTCTTCCAATTTTACATGCATATATCTGGTAATATATATATAACTGGTTGGAAGACAACACTATGTATTATAACAAATACTGTGAAATTCATCTTTGTTTGTTAAGTGAAATTCTGTATCACTTATAATTTTTTCTGTTTTAGTTCTAATTTGTACTCTCTTTAAAAAATAAAGATGACATCTCTTGCTTTATATCTGTACAATAATACTTCTTTTTAAATTCAATGAGTCTGAGAGACACAGAGACAGAGACAGAGAGAGAATAAGGAGGGGGAGAGAGAGATTCATTTATTAGTGTCTACAAAATTGTTTTGCCTCTTATTATTTACTTTATATTAATTTCCAAACAGTCCACTGGTTGGGGCCTGTAGACAGTCCCATTTAAGACATTTTAAAACTTTTAGCATGGTAGTCCTATTCTTTTGGTATTACAGGTGGATTCACCAGGCAAATGTGAATCTACTTCTAAAAGAGAGGCTTTTCCTTTACAAACAATGATATTTAACTTTGTCTGACATATTCCATTATATACACGGGTTGTGATTGGTCAGTTAAAAATCTGTGAAATTGAAAAGTTCATAGGAACCTATTCAGAGAAGTAGGGGAACAAGAAAAGTCACACTGCTTTTGCTAATAAGTGTTTTCTTTCTTTTTTTTTTTTTTTTTTTTTTTTTTTTTTTTCCAGTACCAGGGATTGAACTCAGGACCCTGCACTTGCCAAGCAGGGACTCATTCTACTGAGCTGTCTCCTCAGCCCTGCTAATAAGTTTTTGTTTTTATCATAGATAACAGAAATTCAAACATGTGATGAAAATGATATTTTAGGAAGAACTTTTCTATTAGTCCAGGAGTACAGTGGACTATATAGTACAAGGTATGATAAAAACTAACATATGTTCAAAGCTAGGGAAGTATTTTGAGGCAGATTAATGACAATGTATCATTTACTGTAATAAATACCTTTAATTTAAACACTCAGTGTATTGGGGGATAAATTAAAATCCAAGTCATACAATAAGTGATATGGGAGCCAGAGGACAGAGTCCACTTCGACTATGTAAATATTCTGTCTCTTGCTCATTGCTGTGACTCTTCACCAATTGCTCTCTACACCAATCTCCCAGTTATGTGGTTTTTTACACCTTCTAAATATTTATTCAATATTCCTTCCATGAACGCTTCCTCGAATCCCAGAGCTCTGCTCATGCTGTACCATCAATACTGAGGACTCTTCAGCCTATCCAGGGTGTAGAGCTGTAGTCATTTTCACATTTATTGATTTTCTTCCTTTAAATCTACTTCATATGATTTTATTCAGGCTGGCTCAGAAGATTTGAAATTCTTTATGAGTGAAGATTATTCACGTAATTTGCTTTGTCTCTTTCCTTAGGATCTGGTAGAGGAACTGCAGACATGGGAGGCTCTTAGTAAGTTTCAACATGTGATGTTCCTATGCCTGAAATTTACTGAAGTTGTTTCCAGCCTGACTTGCCTGCTACGCTGCTGCAATGTCAGGAAAATAGGTGGTGAACAAGAATGAAAGTCAGTAAGGGAAAGCTAAGGAGGGATTTTTATCTTGTTGTGCAACAAGATAAAAGTTGATCAACTTCCCCCTGTTCTTCCTGAATCTAAAAAAAAAACAACACAGATCCATTCCCTGTGTTACAGAATCTGGAGAACAGAGAAAGAGCAACCTAGATGAGAAGTGCAGGAGAGGGACGAGGCACAAGAGGCAGAAGACCTCAGGGGCTCTGGCTTCCAAGAGAGTCTGAGGGGCTGGCGTATGGGAGTCCCTGGAGCAATTATGAAGTATAAGGAACTGGGCTAGGCCAGAGTGAGGCAAGAGGCTTTGGGGAAATACTGCGCAGGCTGTAAGCTGGAGCACATTTGAGAGTTTTCAAGAGACACGAGAGTGACATTCTCCTGACAGGACTTTAGATTTGAGCATGGTGCTTCACCTGTGCCGAGACAGGAATGCCTAAAGCACTGATGTATAGCCACGCGACACTTGGAAATGGAAACTCATAACTTTGAATGACATCAGCCCCCAACTCATACCTACTCCAGCAAGTTCATCTACGGGGTTTCTAATAAGTAGACACTACCAAGAGCCCCCACAGGGAGGGGAAAGTAGAAGAGAAGTGAAAGGCATTCTCTGTGCACAAAGCCCTACAGCAGGCGGGGGGACATGTCCACACTGGAGCAGGACATTCTATTATGTCCACCAGCTACAGTTCTTTCCCCTAATTTACCCAAAGTTCCACAGAGATTGGCAAAGGCTGGCAGAGCCTTGACTCCCACTTCTATTTTAACACTTCCAATGACTGAAATTAAGAGTCTTAGAAAAATAGCTATTCCAATTTTCAGGCATTTTGATTATTAATTTTTTTCCTTTTTTTTTTAGCCAATATCTGCTACTTGAGATTTCTCTTCTTTGCTTATTACATTAATCTGTATGGCACTGCTGCGCGCGCATGCACACACACACACACACACACACACACACACACCCTAAATTTCTTATTATGTTCATTTCATAAATACACTTATTTTTAAGTGTGGATATATATAAGTAAGTCAACTGCAGTCCAGCACAATACAATCAATGTATTTCTCTCACAAAAGACCAACAAATACAAAGCAGTAAACAAACTTCTGTGCTCCCAAATTTTTGAGTCTATTTTTTTTACTGTTTTTTTCTTTCTGTGATTTTTTTTCTTTATATTCTGTGACATTTTTGACTCAAGAGACCAAAGGGAAGCAAGTTTAATAAAGTAAAAACTACCTAGAAAAATAATCATTTTTAACACTGAAATGCACACTTTGCAACGATAAGGCACTTTCAAAGATATGGGTAGGGGGTATGAGAGAAAGAAAACATTGAGAATAGAAGAAAAAGGTGGACAATAAAAGAAGAGCAGAAAGGGAGGGAGGGAGGAGGAAAAGGAGAAAAAGAAGGGGAAGGAAGGAAGGGGCGGGCAGAGGAGGGGAGGGAGGAGAAGGAATGGAGGCAGGGAAAGGAAGTGATGGAGAGGAGGAAGGGGTAGGAGGGGAGAAAAAGGGAGGGAAGGGAAGGGAGGAGTAAGTGTAGCAGTTTATTGCAGATTAGTTAAAGCCCTTTCTTATTTTTGGCCAAAAATGTATAAACATTAATATAAACTATACATGAGGACTCATCATAATTTAAGATGTTATGATACCAAAAAATAAAATAACAAAGATTTATCTAGTATAGTGTTGAAAATTCTCCTCTCTAAGGACCGCTGAAGTATGGGTCCCTAACTGCCAGTCTAATGTTAGCAATCCCTTTCCCGGGACTATTAATCCCTTGCTGTCTGGGTTACTTTTTTCTTATTGCCAGGACAAAAAACCCAACACCCAAATTTAAGGAAGAAAAGGCTTCTTTAGCACACAGCTGTGGAGGTTTCAGTCCATAAGCAGCTGGTTCCAAGGCAGAGTGGCACATGGCAGAGGGCAGTAATTCATGGCATCGGAAAGCAGCAAGAGCAAAAGGACAGGAGCAGAAGCAGGACACAGAAGCAGGCCTCTCCCTTCCTTACACTGCACTCAGGCCATCTGTCCCGGGGGCGTGTGGCATTCACACTCATAATGCCAGCATTGAATCATGAATTAATGAGAAGCTCTAAATGCCCACCCTAGTGACTACATGAGGCTTTGGTGGAACAATGAGGCACAAACCATAACACATGCTAAGGAAAATGTCTGCGTAATTGAAGGTTAGGATTGTGCCTACCTTGGTGTTCTCATGTTTCTAGCCATATGTCCTACATTTTTGCAGTTATTCCCTAAGTGAAATTTTTTGACATTTTCCTTTCAAGCTATTTGTGTCTTTATATTTAAAGGATATAATTAGGTCCTGCTTTTTTAGGCCAATG